TGATAGAAACACTGACCCAAGCAATTTATAGAAGGAAGGGTTTATTTGAGCTTACGGTTCCAGGGGAATTATAGTCCATCGTGGCAGGGAGGCATGGTGGCTGGAGGTGGTTGGAGCAGGAGCAGCAGAAGCTAAGCTCTCACATCATCACCCAGGCACAGGAAGCAAGAGGGTGACTGGAGATCTGGCAAGGCTTAAGAACTCTCTAAGTCCACCCCCAGTGATGTGCTTCCTCCAGGACAGCCATACCTTCTAAAACCTCCCAAAACAGTGCCATCATCTGGAGACAAAATATCCAAATACTTGGAGCCTATGGGGGACATTTTCATTCAAACCATCACACCAGGGCTCCCAGTTCTGGCTCTTGCCATTGCTCTTGGGTCCCTGCCAGAACATGTGAGCAAGACCCTATTGCTGAAGACACTACATATGTGAATCAGAACAAACAAGGAGGCGTCAAGCTGGTACTGATTTCATAGTGCTGGAAGTTTCTATGCATGCCAGTGGAAGAGAAAAGTAATCATCAGCATTACCAGCTGTGACCCCTGTGAGCTGCGATGGTGACCGGCCTGGAAACATGTGCCCACTGGTGTGAAGAGGCATGAATGCTATGGGCTAACCAGCCACATTCTGATTGGATTTTAGGTCTACTTCCCAAGATGAAGTCCACACCTGGCACCATTATCAGGCCTAGAAACCTGTGGCTAGACAGGTCAGAGATCATACGGGAGAGCCTACTGCTATCATTCTGCTAAATAGACATAGCATTACACAAACTCCCGGTGACTGACTTGTTATGTCCATAGATTAATGCATCTCTCAGTTCTCACCAGAGAAGCTGCTTCTTACCACAGATGGAGGTTAACACTGAGACTGACAACTGGTTAGCTTACAAAGAGTAGGAAACCTTACAGTGCTCAGTCTTAAACAGGACATCTACATTGCACTTTCTCTCAAGGCCCGGGGATCATTGTGGAAGAAGGAGTGGAAGGGTTGTAAGAGCCAGAGGTGGTGGGTGAATACAAGAAAACTGCACTCCAGACAGCCGGGCAGCTGCACATATGAGCTCACAGCAACTGTGGCGGCGTGGATGAGATCTTGGCACGCCAGACAAAATGCCAGCACGTAGGTGGGGTAGGCAAGAAGCCCCAGCCCTAGCTGAGGAATTCCTGCGGCTGGAAGTGGCTGGGACAAGCATAGTCTATTGTCCTTAAGGGAGTAATGCCAGGTTGATCAGCTTCCAAGGGACAGACCCACACACAGCACATTTGGGAAACTTAAAATATAATAGAGAACATGAAGTGTGGGGGGGCGTTGAGAGGAGGTGGGGGATGGGATCTCATTACCCTCAAAATACAATGTATAAAATCTCAAAGAATCAATAAAAACTAGAAAGACAAGGATTAAGGATCATCAACTAGTGGGGACCACCTAGAAACCACATAGTTCCCTTGCTCAAGGCGGTCAGCTAAGATGCAGGGCAGAGGCGGCATGCCTGTGGGTGGTGCAGTAATGCCTGCATCAGCAGTGAACACACCCGGCTAAGGAGAAAACTCCAGAGCCAGAGGAGTGGTTGGGCAGTGGCACAAGATGTGGGGAACGGACCTTCCTTAGTGAGCCTGTCCAGTAAGGTGTCAGATGGCGTCTGACACGCCTTACTGCCTGGATGACTCTACTGGACTGTGGGCTGCCTAGCTTCTAGCGTCAGATGTCAGGAGATAGCAAGCCTGATGAAGTGTAGTTATCAGGAGAACCACAGGAGTAGGCTGGGGTGTGAGTTTCAGGATAGGGAATCAAGCTGACCAAAAGGAAAAGCTATCACAAGTGGCCTGACGCAGCGATCCCTGAGCTGGGCCGAGCGCCAGGTACGGACATGTAATCCCTCTGAAGCATCTGAGCTGGTCACTGCACCGCAACAGCCAGGGAGCCAGGAAGGGCCGAGGAGTTCGGACTGACTCGGATTAGAGCAGTTTAATTTGCAGGGTGCAAAGAGGGGTTTTGTTCGTGGGGATGAGATGGGTGTCAAACTTCATCTTTTGGAGCTGAACACATACTAAAAAGGGGGCACAGACGTTAAGTCTCTGTTACCAGCTACCAGTCACCACGACCTTAATATCTTAATCTGGTTACCTGAAAGTCCAACCCGTTCCTTCAGGTCTAAATGGATGAATAGAGCACAACAGAGAAGCCTGTTTCCCTTAGAAACTCCACACAGCTTCCTTACCTTACAAAAGGTATGAAATACCTGATTTTGAGGATTTTACATAGAAACCTATTAACGTCCCGAGAAAAAAAGCCCTCTACGTCCCAGGTGTGGTGAAATTGAGAGAAGATGAAGGCCTCCGGAGTCTCTACCCTTCTGTGAGGAATCCTTGTGTTCGAAAACGTCTGAAAAGCCCTGGGGGTGGGGTGGGGGGATGGTGGAGGTTGCTCCGTGTAGAATGCCCTCTTTTGTTGTTACTTGTGATGTAGCTTAGGGTATGGGCAGGAGAAAAGGGAACACACACACACACACATACACACACAGACACACACACACACACTCACACACCATGTTGCTTCAAATCAAGAGGGAGGCATTTTAGTTCTGAGAAATATCTGAGTTCCAAAATTCAGGGGAAAACGTTTTGAGGAAACAAAGCATGCTCCTGAGTCTGAGACCAAAGAGGATTTTTTCTAAGAAAGCAGCTTACGATATGATTTAATATTACCAGTGCCCCAGTTCCTATGGTTTCAAATGTATCCGTCAGTGTCTGATGCAGACCCATAAAAATATTTTACAGGCAGTTGGTTTTATCTGTTTCTAAAAGGGAAAATATTTTTTAAAAAAACTATTTGTGGTAAACATTTAAATACAGTCATGTATTATCGTAACTGTCCCTTATTTCCTTTAATAGTTTACAAGGGGAGGACGGCTGTTTGAACTTTGGGGGGAAACTCCTGTAAACAACAAAGGATCACAGGAAAAGGGGTTCAGAGTTCAAGATGAGAAAACGAACGCATTCCCCCACCTCTCCCATACAGTAACTAATGAACACAGCTTTTAGAATGTACATTTGACTATGGCGGCTGTAGTGTGATTAATGGCACTTTGGTCTGGTACAGCTGGGTGTTGGACCTCAAGGTGACTCAGAGAAGCACAGTTACATCCATTGGTCTGTGCTGATCAAACCAGAAATGTGAACCCAGATATGTGTAGGAGTATTTTCTGGTGATCCTCAGCTATTGATTGTGACAGGAACCTAGTGCTGAAGCCTACAGAGACGGGGGAAGCGGCAGGCTGACGCCCACTTCCTGCGTTCTCCAGCTTGAGCCGGACTGCGTGTCGTGTTTCGACTTTGCAGGCTTCTGCAGAGTCATTCAGGAATCTCCAGCGATGCATCTACGTGATGACAGGCCAGGCTGCTGTCGTGCTTGCCCAGTTATTTAAAAGCTGTTCTGCCCTGGCTCAGGGGGGTTGAATGCTCACCTAGCACACAGGAAGCTTTGGGTTCAGGATAGAACCACATCCCCACGGTGGTGTGCTTGCCTGTAATTGTAGCACTGAGATGGAGGCAGGAGGATTACAAACTCCAGTTCATCTTCAGACACAGCAAACCTGAGGACAGCCTGGGCTAGATAAGACTGTTTCAAAAGAAACAAGGGAACTGCTACCAATGGAACAGCCAGACCTGGGGTGTGGGGTGGGTGTGGGGGAATGATGCCACTGGTGCTCCTTAGAGGCTATTGGAGGGAGTAGGAGGAGACTGGGAGGGAATAGGAGGGGCAGGTCAAGGATGGGAAAAGCTTCTCTGAAACAGGGGCCAAGATGCTTTTGTGACCAGCTCATGATGCAATTTAAAAAGCAAGCTTTAGAGCCAGGTGTGGAGAGCATGCCTTTAGTCCCAGCACTCAGGAGGCAGAGGCAGGCGGAGCTCTGTGAGATCCAGGCCAGCCTGTTCTACATACTGAGTTCCAGGACAGCTGGGGCTACAGGGAGTCCCTGTCTCAAAAACAAGCAACAAACCAAAAATCCTGCCTCATGACAAACACAAAAATCAACTTATGTAAAATCCCTAAACACGTGAAATATCTTGTCAATATAAGACTAGTGAATAAGGATCCCAAGCTTTCTTCAAATCCTCCCAGGCAGAAGGACACGGGTAGGGGCACCGGCAACTCCAGCAGACAGGGTCAATCTGCCCCCTGTACCAGCTCAGCTGACCCCGAGGGGACCGAGGAAGGAAGGTGGCCCCTGAGCCTCCCATCATCTGAATGCTGTGGGCACTGAGGTAGAAGGCTCAGCCAGGCATGGTGTTGATGGGAAGACATTACCCCTGAAGCTTTCTGCTATTTACAGAAGTGAATGTCCTGTTCTTGACACTAAGTCTCCATAGCGCTGACATGCTGCACTACACAGAAAGAACCATACGCTCACTTTTTAAAGGACACCACAGCCTTGTCCGTCTGGAGCTCCAGGTGGCTTCTGGGCTGGAGGTAGGGTTTTTTTGTTTCTGTTTTCTTATTTTTTAAATAGATATATTCTGAAGTAACGAGGAAGACTAAAACGGATGAAAAGCGTACACGTTCAGCTAGTCAAACATACCAGGCCTTGAGAGGACAAACGACTGGGGAATACCTTAGATTTTCCTAGTGCATTTTCGTTTCTGTTTTGAAGCAAATGTGTGTGTGGCTATTGACCCTGTAATTCAGAAAGGGGCTCTTCAGTCCTGCCTGGGAGGGAAATGACCCAAAGGGAAGGGTGGAGCACAGGAGACCAGGAGACGCAGGGCGCAGAGGCAGGGATGAGTGGCTGCTGCCTCGGGTGTTGGGCCTCCAAAGGCATCCATCCAATCAGGACGCACGGAGGCTGTGCCCGGGGAGGTCAGACTCCAGGCGCTGGGGGGACTCATCTGCACAGAGCAAGCAGGGCTCGTCCACTCACCCTGTGCGCATCGGACACCTAGTTTCGGCCCTGGTCAGTTCTCAGCTCCTGACAGCTCTGATGTCCTCCTTTCCAGATGCTGCATAACAAGCACGTGATGGTCCGCGTGGGAGGAGGCTGGGAGACCTTCGTGGGCTATCTGCTCAAGCACGACCCTTGCCGGATGCTGCAGATCTCCCGCGTGGACGGCAAGACATCTCCGGTGCAGAGCAAATCCCCCTCGCTGAAGGACATGAACCCGGATAATTACCTGGTGGTCTCCGCCAGTTACAAGGCTAAGAAGGAGATTAAGTGAACCGAGTCCGCGAGGGGCGACGGCCACATCCATGTCTGCAGCCTAGTCAGTGTAGTGCACACGCTCCGGGAACTGCTTTGGAAAAGTCATCAGACTGAAAACATCCCAAGAGTAGCACTATTTATTTTCAATGCTCTGTAGAACACGAAGCCCAATCCTAAACCGAAGTCAGACCAAGTCTAAGCAAACCCTCGTTCCTGAATACGTGAGCATAGTTTTAGAACTACCTTCCTAGGAAGACCTCTGGGTAGGGCTGTCTAGGAGAGCACTTAGCACGCGCAGACTCGGCAAAAGAAAGCGCCCGCTGTAACAGAGAAAAGCACCCCAGATGCTTATGTAGTTGGATTTTAAAGCTACTTTTTACAAAATGACAATGTGGCGATGTGCTACTAAAATTACCCGACAGCACTGTAGAATTTGCAACAGTAACACTTTACTGGAAAGGCCACTTCAGAGGTGTTTACATTCACACGGAAGATTGCCTTAAGTTCATCTCTGATCGCTGGCCAGTCCTCTGGGGTTCTCGAAGTTTTCAGCTCAGCCCCTTAGAGAGCAGCAGGTACCTTCACAAGTCCCTAAGCCCAGCGCTGGGCCCAGGATGACTTAGTGGAACTCACACACACAAGCCGGCCGTGGGTTTATATTTTGATGCGCGGACTGTACAGCCAAATGTTCACTGATTTTGTGGGTCCTTTTTTCCCAAGCATTTTCTTATTAAAATATATCTTTAGTTAATCCTACTTTGCTATGCTGTCTAGGTTAATTACCATAGGGATGTTCCAGACTTGTGTACCCAGCATAGGGCTGTTTTGTATCAATAAACAGCAAGTTACTGTCCACAATGATCTAAGAATTAAAAATGGAGAATTAAAAACAATGTGTCTCTACATCAGTGATTCAATGTGACACAGAAACAGTCTCGATCACACCCATGGACGTGCAGCTTCGGCCACATCTTCCTGCAGGGAAGGTGGGTGGAGGTGCGTAAGCTCAGCAGCAGAGGGCTTACACTGCCAAGGGAAGTGGCTTACCTGTCACCCTGCAAACATTTTTTTAATTGGTGGAGTTAACTCATCATTTAATTATTTTACAGTAACAAGGAAAACTCAGCTTCCTTGGTCCAAAATCTCACAGTGGAAGCATCTCTTACATGACCAGTTCAGTCAAACATACCCTTCCTGTTTGTGGGAAAAATTTTGGCTGGCATGGTATAGGTTAGTGGTGCTGGAACTGGTGTCCTGAGTCCAGAAAAATCATGTCAGCACAAAATAGCTAAAGGAAAAAACCAAAAACCTATAGCATTTGTACAAGGTAAAATGATCTTGGCATAGTGAATAATTCTAGTATATTTTGAAATAAGTAACATTTAAAGGTTGAATCTTTATTTCATCAAGTGAGTGCTTATATTGCATTTCTCTGCATTGTTACTGACAATCTTTCCTTCACAACTTTTTCTCCTGGTTAATTTTTTAGTTCTGGAAGTTTGTGAATCCCATCATGCACGGGTTGCCATTTAGTAGTCCTGTTGAAGTCCAGCGATCTCATGGGGTAAGATCAACATGTGCTCAAGGCTGAATCCCATCTGAAGACTGCGAGAGAGAATCCATTCTTGCCTTTACTGCTTTGCAGAGATGACCAGCCATCTTTGGCTCACGGCCACCTCCCTCTCCTCAAAGCCAGCCCATTGCATCGCGCTCATCTTGCTTTTCTTCTTTCTTCACATCTCTTCTACTGGATGTAGGCCGAAAAAGTCTTCAGGTTTAAGAATCCAGCTTGGGGCTAGAGAAACGGCTTAGAGGTTAAGAAATCTTGCTGGTCTTGCAGAGGACCTGAGTTGGGATTCCCAGTACCCCCATATCAGGCAGTACCCCCTATATCAGGCAGTACCCCCATATCAGGCAGTACTCCCATATCAGGCAGCACCCCCGTATCAGGAAGTACCCCCATATCAGGAAGTACCCCCCATATCAGGCAGTACCCCCCATATCAGGCAGTATCCCCGTATCAGGCAGCACCCCCGTATCAGGCAGTACCCCCGTATCAGGCAGTACCCCCCCATATCAGGCAGTACCCCCCATGTCAGGCAGTACCCTCCCATATCAGGCAGTACTCCCATATCAGGCAGTACTCCCCCGTATCAGGCAGTACCCCCCTATCAGGCAGTACCCCCTATATCAGGCAGTACCCCCATATCAGGCAGTACTCCCATATCAGGCAGCACCCCCGCATCAGGAAGTACCCCCACCTCACGAACCAGCCCCTCAGGCAGTACCCCCCCATATCAGGCAGTACCTCTCCATATCAGGCAGTACCCCCATATCAGGAAGTACCCCGCATATCAGGCAGTACCCCCATATCCGGCAGTACCCCCGTATGAGGCAGCACCCCTGTATCAGGCAGTACCCCCATATCTGGCAGTACCCCCGTATCAGGCAGCACCCCTGTATCAGGCAGTACCCCTGTATCAGGCAGTACCCCCCCATATCAGGCAGTACCTCTCCATATCAGGCAGTACCCCCATATCAGGAAGTACCCCCCATATCAGGCAGTACCCCCCCATATCAGGCAGTACCCTCCCATATCAGGCAGTACCCCCCATATCAGGCAGTACCCCCCATATCAGGCAGTACCCCCAATATCAGGCAGTACCCTCCCATATCAGGCAGTACCCCCCCGTATCAGGCAGTACCCCCCATATCAGGCAGTACCCCCTATATCAGGCAGTACCCCCATATCAGGCAGTACTCCCATATCAGGCAGTACCCCCATATCAGGCAGCACCCCCATATCAGGCAGTACCCCCATATCCGGCAGTACCCCCATATCAGGCAGTACCCCCGTATCAGGCAGTACCCCCCCATATCAGGCAGTACCCCCATATCAGGAAGTACCCCCAATATCAGGCAGTACCCCCATATCAGGCAGTACCCCCATATCAGGAAGTACCCCCCCATATCAGGCAGTACTCCCATATCAGGAAGTACCCCCCCATATCAGGCAGTACTCCCATATCAGGCAGTACCCCCCCGTATCAGGCAGTACCCCCCGAATCAGGCAGTACCCCCCGAATCAGGCAGTACCCCCATATCAGGCAGTACTCCCATATCAGGCAGTACTCCCATATCAGGCAGCACCCCCATATCAGGCAGCACATAATCACCTGTAACTCCACTTCTAGGGGACACAATGCCCTCTGGCCTCTAAGGGCACATGAACTCGCACAGGCACATATACATATATGTAAATTTTAAAAAACAAGCTTTAAAACAAAAGAATCAATGTGATTAGAACGGGCCCACTGAGGAAAACCCCTTTGAGGTCATTTTTAAAATCTTTGTAATGTACAACATACAGATTCGAGAGGTTAGTAATTGAGTCTACTCAGGGAAAGCGGATTATTGGGGTTAGTCCATATCTATGATGGTCTTTCAAATGTCTTTGAGAACATGTCCATTAGCAAGGGTGGGGTTTAGGTCCTAGCTCATCACCACTGAGAGGGCATGGACACATGGAGTGTATCCAGAGGGAAACAGCCAAACACAGAGAGCTCTCACTGACACCATGAATACCTGAATGGACCCGCATCACCCTCTCAGCTAGATGCGACACCCAAGGAGAGGGGACAGAACACTGTTATGTAGGGAGTAAAAGATTAAAAACCTCCAGTGGAGAACAAAGTCCACCATCATGCATGCAAGAAGAGGAAGGGCAAGGCCACAGCCAGGACACCGGCAGAGTTGAGGGGATCTTTACCAAGCTGCTAAAGGACCTGCTGCCATCAGACCTGGCTTCCCGAGGTGGAGGAAGGGGAGCAGAGCTGCACAGACCCTCAGGCCAGATGGTAAAGGCAGAGAAATACTGATTTCAGCTGTTTTCTTTGTCCTATCACTAACTTCCTGTGGGCATTCTCAGCTGCCTTGACTAGCTCTTGTGTTGTGGTTAGAGAAAAGGACAGATGCAGGTTAAGATGAAGAAACTACTACCATCGAACTAGCTCAAAGGAAAGAACCTCCTAAGAAAATTTCCCAAGATGCAATGCTCACCTTAAAAGTTGCTGGATATTGTTACTGAGATTTTTCTCCCTTTAAAATTCCAACAATTAGAGGGCCTAGCACAAGCCAAACACAGCTCTATTAAGGTAGCCAGTGCTGGGGATGGAGAGATGGCTACGTAGTTAACAGCACTAGCTGCTCTTGCAGAGGACCTAGGTTCGATTTCCACATGGCAGCTAACAATCATCCTTAACCCTAGTTCCAGGAGATCTGATGCCCTCTTCTGGCCTCCGCACGCACTGCATGACATGGGTGCACTTACATACAAGCAGTGGACTTAAAGTAGCCAGTGCTGTTCAGAACATGAGAAAGTGTCATATCCAGGACAAGGAATTTACGAATATTTAGTTAAACCATGGTGGCCATGCTTGATGCCATATTTGCAATACAGACTGCACATAAAAGGATGGACACCATAAGTGCCGTAACCCTGAGAACCTGGAGAGTTCAGGTTGTTGTGACACAAACGACATCAAAACAAAACAATTTCAAAAACCTGCTATATGCACAGATGCCTTTTTAAGTGGGATTTTTGTTGTTGTTGTTTGTTTTTAGAGAGTTAATACACAGGGCCTCATATCAGAGTTGGGACATACAGCACACATGTCTAAGGGAACCTGCACCTGCCCAGAAAAGACACTAAAGAAATGTATCTTCCATCTTCACACAGGAAACAGCCACATCTTCCTGCTAAATTTATACTTTATTCAAAATTAACAAAAGACATACTTTCATCTTCTAAGGATACAGAATGATTCTTACCAATAAAATAAGTCAAATTTTTGGACAAAAGATAGAACCAAAGCACCTGTCAGTTTCCGGGATATTGGTTTCCTGGGGATAACGCATAGAACTTTTGCTGCATCACTGTTTGTCTAAAAAGGCAAGAGTAATAACATTTGTCCTTTACAATGTAAGGCAAGAAACATGCCCGTTATAAATCCAGACATTCATGAACACTCCAAACAGCCATTAGCTCTTTTTCTGTTATTAATCCCAGGGACTTGGAAGTGTTCCTAACCATCAACCCAGCTCCCAATTTGTTCAGGATGTAGTAGAGATGAATTTCTGTTTCAAGAGATGGCCAAAGGGAACTTTTATATAGGAAAATGTATACTCATATCCACAAAAGATAATAAAGCATTTTTAATGAAACCATATGTGAACTAGTAAATTACATTCCAATATAATTAGTCAAGTGGCAGAGCCACACACAGACATTTAGAGAACATGTAATACGTCAGAGGGATCTTTAATGACAATACATAGCTTTTTTTCAGTTAAGACTGTGGCATGTGCGCATTCTGTCCTAACAGGATGGTTGTCTGTCTGCACCTCACTGTGTCAGTTCTGCTTCAGCAGCTTGGCCTTGGAATTTGAAGACATTCAACATTACAGTGTTCTGTTATTTAAACCATAAGTTATGGAAAACTATCACAACTTCCTGAGCAAAGTACAGACATGATTTCAGAGCTCATTCACCAGCTCTTCAAGTAACCCACGTTTCTCTTTTCCTCTTCTTCACATCCACGAGGTTCAAGACACAGCTTAGTGTCTGTGACCTGTGTGGCCTTAGGGAGAGCTGTGCACAGCACGGCCGTGAGGCAGGAGGGCCCCGTGCCCATGGCCTGGGGAAGGTGTCCCACGCCCACTGAGGCAGGCCCGAGCTGGCAGAAGCTGTGTACCCTGCTTCTCCCAGCAAGTGGTCTGCCTGCCTGTGATGCATGGCTGGACGGCAGCGAAGCACAGTGTGAGCGGTAGCTGCTGGATGTGGAATGGCCTCCTAGACCAAGCCCTGCATTTGCACAACCCGCCCCCGTTCCTGAAGACGAAGACGAGACGAACGTGGCTGATCTGTGGACGCAGGAGGGTTTGCTCCTGTCAGGGGCGTGTTCCGGCTCCCTCTCCACTCAGCTATGAATAAGCCTTCATGTGTTAGAAACACCAATTACCTAAATAAACTACAGAATTTCACTTCTAAAATGCAATTCAGTGATTTTACTCTTCCCCATTAACAAAAGTATCACTAATCTTAAAATATGAAGAGAAATTGAGCCAATGCAAATACGTATCTTGTCTGGATATTCATGAATAATTTCAAACAGTAGAAAAAAGTAATTGTTTCCATGAGGCGTCAAGAGACCTATATTATACTTTGTAGGTCTCTTTATAATTAACATGTTCAACACACTTATACACCTGGAGCCTTGTCGGAGGGATGAGCGAGATGGTCGTTGGCTCAGTATCCTGTGGCTGTGACCTGCCTGGTCTAATTCACAATATTCCTACTGGCTCTTAGAATCTATAAATTCTCACTTAGGGGTCAGGAGTGAGACCTTGGCTATAAAGCCAACATCCTTACCAGCAGCAACCTTGTATCTTCTGCAGTAAGACGACAGAAGCCAACGTGCCATAAAGCTCATATACACGAAAATCAACAGACTCTTATGTATCACACAGAATAGCCTCCTACCATTTCCATGGTTAGACCTTTTAACGTACAGTATGTACACATCTCACACCTGCATCAGCAACCTCATGACTGTATAAATCTAACACATACATCACCCCTCATTATTACCTGCCCCAATTCTCAGCTGGCCTCGTCCATCACTACATAGATCATCATGGTGCTGAAGAGGTAACACAGGTAACTCAGGTATTACTGACGGTGACTTCAGGTTCAGCAAATACAGCAAGCTTTACTATCATGTAAAAGTACCTGCTAATTTTACATGCTATAGATATAGTAAATAAACTAAGAGAAAGTCAACGTTTGCCTACAAATATTCATGATTCAGTCGGTTATAAAAATGTGACGCGCCCTGTCACCTGAAGCCCTCAAATGCTTTCAGGATTTTCCCTGATGAACAGTTTAAAGGCACTAAATCCGTACATTGAAGCAAAAAGTCTGCAAACATAGTGTGACAGAGATGGACAGAAGGCCACACAGAGGAGTGGACGTGGTCAGGCGGCTGACTCAGCCAGGGACTGTGACTGCAGGTCTAACAGGGAGGACTAGGGCGGGATCTGTGTGTGCCTATATACCTTTCAGATCCATATCTTAACTACAGAAAACGGCACATTCTTACAGAAGAGAAAACTGAAGGGAAATTAGAATTTAATGAAAAGCTGCGTCATTTTGTAAGCTTGAAAATCAAAAGTTTTACCAATATTTTCAGTACAGCTTTAGCACTGTGCGCGGGCATTAATAATACAAAGTCTGACTCTTCTGTCTGTGCAAAGAGGAGAAACTCAGCCGAATTCAGCTTCATTGCCGATGCTGAAGTTCTCGGCAGTGGTCTCCTGTAGTTACGACACACTTCAGGACACTGTCCACTGGAAAAGATAAAAATATATGGTGTAAGTAAATTTCTATTCAAATTATGTAACAATATTCTTTTGAACAAATTTTAAAAATAAGACTATGAGACAGAGGAATGCAAAAATGATTTTTGCACACAGCCACTAATCATACAAGTTTATAGTATAGCCCTAAATCTGAAATAAGATGGTTGCTTAAAAAATATAGACAAGACCATGTATTGGGGCAGACCGAAGGGCAGCCTTGGATGGACCCAGGTGTCCTGCACTCTCAGCCTAAGTTCTCAAAAGTCACCACATTCTGTGCTGGCAACGCTAACTGGGACTGGGTGAAAGAGCCCGGCTGTGTTCCAGGCCCCTGCTCTGCTCCAAACTGGATCTCTGTCAATGCATTAACTCAATGAGTCATGTTGTCCCCAAAGTAATAAGCCCAGGGTGGTCCATTTCCAAGGGCCCTCCTAGGCAGACTCCACTGGCAGAAGCTGCCCTGACCCAGGATTCAATCCTACGCTTCTGTTGTCCCTGGAAGCTTGTCCATGAGTTATAAGCCCATACCATGTCCCTGGTCACACGTGTGAGTGTCTGGAGCACCAGAATGGAAGCTGGAAAATACCGGCCCTGCTTCACAGTGGCTAGATCCCAAACACCCAACACCAACATGGCTTGGGTGTTGGGAGGCACCAGTAAAACCACGAGATGAAAAAAAACTATCTTTTCGGAGTCAGGGAACTGAGAAATGGTAGGAGTTATTAAATAATAATGTAAGATGTTGTTCTTTCTTGAGTATGAAGATATCCTACTTGTGAAACTGTTTAAACAGTCCATGAAATCTATGATAACAGACTCTGAGAAAGCCCCTGAGCGACAGAGGTATGCGCTGTCGCCAGAGTACTGCTTCCACTCCGTCTCCAAGAAACGCGATGTGCTCTGCAGTTTTCAAAAATATCTGCATTTCAGTACAATTCTAAAATTAAGGGTTAACTGGAGTTAACTTGTTTTTGTTGCAGGACTTCTTAGAGGCCTGCATGCTGAGCCTTTTCAGTCTGCAAGAAGGGGCACGTACGATCTACAATATAACATGTTCAGGATTTATTCTACACTAGTCAGGATTTTTAAATTCCTGTTTATTTTTATTTACTATTATTTTATGTGTACAAGTGTATTACCTGCATGTATGTAAGTGCATCTGTGTCGTGCAATACCCGTGGAGGTCAGAAGAGGTTGTTGTATCCCCGAAACGGGAGTTACAGATGGTTGTTAGCCACCATGTGGGTGCTGGGAATGGAACCTGGGTCCTCTACAAGAGCAGCCAGTGCGCTTAACCACTGAGCCATCTCTCCAGCCCCAAATTCCCATTTTTAAACATAAACCTTTATTTACTATATTGTCTCATGAGACTAGTGTTAAGACACACTGGAGAGACATCTTCCATCTGGCTTTCCAGCCTGCAGCAGGAGCTTGAGCATCTCAGCATCAGGACACAGTGATACTACCGCATGTGTTGAGAACCTGGGCCCTGCTTCTGCACTGCCCTGTCCTGTGTTGGTCTGGTGCTGCTCTGAACTGGGCATGGGTATCACGGGGCTTCCCGGGTAAGGAGGCTTTTCCGAGGACACTGAGCCATCCCTAGGAGCAGGCAGAAGGTGAAGACAAGAAGGAGCCTTTTTCCCCTGATAAGGATCCTCCTGTTCTATAGGCTCCTCCAGGCTGTGCACAGCACTGGAGGACCACAGCCATGATGTGGGAGGACCGCCTGCACTGGGCTTGCTCTTCCCTTATCCCTGAGCCGCCAGTACACTGCTTTAGAACTCCATGCTCCAGATGTCCTACTCAGGCATGCTCAGGGACAGAGCCTCCTGAAACTGGTGCTTTGGTGGGTGTGGTTGGGACTGCGAGACTGCCTACAGCAGCAGAGAGCCAGGACCTGTCACTTCTCTGGAGAAAACCCTCCTGCTAATTTGCAGCTTGATGCTCATGAGAGTTTACTAAAGGAGCCTGAGAAATTTCATAAACGAACAGCACAGACAGAGAAAAATGATAGTAGAAGCATTTTTTGAGTACTTTTGAGAGACCTACAAGCAACGTGATGCCAGGTGACTTCTCCGTCTACGAGTTTCAGAACGAGGGAGATTCAGATTTAATTAGGAAGCTCTTCTCTCAGAACTGAAGAGGAAATGGGAAACTCACCAGGTCAGAACATGGGCAATAAATGTTTTCTGAATTCTGACTACACGTACCTTGTCATATAACATTACACCTCAACTTCACACTACCTCCGTTCCTACCAGGATGCAATGGATCTCAATCTCCCTTCCAGTTCCATGATCTACATTTTTAGCTTTTTGTTTCTGAGAATACTCTGTGAATTAAAACTAGTGACACAGCTTTTTATCTTAGTAGGAAAAAGAATGTACATAGATCTAGTGTGTTCTTTTCTGGAAGTCTGAAAATTAACATAAACAAAAATGGTCACATGATATAACTGAATATTAAAGCCAGTTATTTTGAATTGTATTCAAAGTCCACCATAAAGACAAAAGGGTTTGTTTTCAAGTCAGTGCCGCTCAGGATGGTCCCAAGCCTTCCGCCCCACATTTTATGGACAGACACGTGTGCCTCTGAGTGTGGGCATGTAGTTTGGAGCCAAAAACCAAATGTAATTTGAAAGGGTAAATTTAACTGAGAAGTTCATGGAAATTAAGGGCCCTGTCACTTGCACTGCCAACTCTCAGAACTAGTGTTGCCTTTGAAAGGCAGTAATGAAGTATCAATATCTGAACCATTATTTTCCTAAGCAACAACATGTAGAATAAAATCTTTGCAGTTCTGCTGAGCTCCAGCTGAAGGACCTATCTATCCACCATGGCACACACAGGGTCTGTTCTGAGGCAGAAACATCAGGAGCAGCAAGTGTTGCTCCCAGGTGAGCTACTTAAGGTCTAAACTCACATTTACATGATAGAGATAATGTGGGGCAAAAGAAAGTCCCCAAACCACAGCTGGAGCTGAAGGTGACACACACACGCAAAACCCCCGTGCCTGCAAGGTGGAGGCTGGAAGATCAGGAGTTCAAGGCTGTCCTCGGCTACAAAGTGAGTTGGAGGCCAGCCTGGGCTCCAGGAGACCCTGCCTCAAAAAGCCAAATAATCAAAACAAGAAAACAAACACAAAAGATCCCCAAACATGGACTGAGAACATTGAATCTATAAAAGTAGAGATTTTACAACCATCAGATTTTAGGAGTTACAGCCAAGCAGACATTAGAGCTGTCTGTCAAAGGAGACTGGCTGAACACTTTCTCATTCCGCTGAAACTTTTGAACTTACGATTGCACTGCATATGAACTGAGTAGGAGACACTGCTGAGATGACGGTTATGATTGCATGGCATTGCTGGGATAGAAGAAATCTATTGTTTTCATTTGGAAAAAAGAAAATTAAACTAGCTGAAACTTCCTCTAAACTATGCTGTTTGTGTTTTCAAATTTCTTCAAGATTTTCTTACAGTGCACTTCTGGGGGAGTTCCCAATAGACTGCTGCATATGCCTCAGAAAACGAGCGGATGTAAGCCTTAGTCAGTACTCACTCGAAGTCCACCTGTGGGCGGGGGTCCCGACGTAGCCATTTGCTGTTCCATCTGCTCTTTCTTCTTTCTCTTTGCTTCCACTGACTGAATATCCAAAATCCCCCGAGATGCCGCCTTTAAGGAATTTGATAAGGGGTAATTACAGAAAAAAAAAGGTATCAGGGTCCAAAAGGTGTCTGGTTTTTGCTTTCTAGGTCTCTCTTTGGGCATGGGGAGTTGGCTCGGTTTGGGTAACAGAGAACTCTTCTACATTAGCCTTTCTTACAGGAGCTGCCAATTCTTCAGCGGACATTAAAACATTTTTATTTATTTTTTATTTTGTGTGTGTTATGCCTGCATATATGTAAGTGCACCCATGTGTGGAGGTCAGAAGAGGGTGCTGGATCCACTGGAACTGGAGTTATGGAAGGTCGTTAGTCACCATGTGGGTGTTGGGAATCGAAACCAAGTCCTCTCCAAGAGTAGCCAGTGCGCTTAACCATCTCTCCAGCCCCATTCAGTGGACATTTTAAAATCGCACAAATTCTTCTTTCAATTACTTACACTTGCCAGGGTTTTACAAAGTCTGGCCAGTTTACCTTGGGAAAGAATGGTACTTCGGGGCCAACTCAATATGCAAAACCCATCTGGAGCTGTTGTCATACTTATGGTGGAAATACATGGAGGGGATCTTTTGAGGGTGGTTATCTTTAAGAACAAAGCTGCTTCATTGATGGCACTGCACTTCAGAGCAGTGACACCACTGCAGACATCTGCAGACAGCCATGTGGAATGTGGCCGCCCAGGGACGCTCACCTCTCTCTGCCTTCGCTCTGCAGCTCCCGCCAGCTTTGCTCTTTTCTCTTCCTAAGAAAACGCAGATGTTTCAAAAGCAAAGTTAGACACCATCACAGAACGTGATGCACCTATATACTATGAGCAACACAGCAGTCTGTAAAGAGTTAGTACTGGCCAAAAAAACCCACAAAAAATTGTCACTGCGAAGGCTGACCATCCTATCTGGGACTACAGTCCTAAATACTGGCTATGTGGAAGGCTGAGACAGGAAGATCCCCGGAGCCCAGTTCAGGGCCAGCCTGAGTCACACAGTAAGACTCCACTCTCACTCAAATAAGAGAACCCCCAAACCCACCCCTATTACAACTTTTGTTTTAAGACAGGGTCTCTCTGTAGCTCCAGCTGGCCTAGAAGTAGCTATGTAGACCAGGCTAGCTTCGCTCTCCCAGAGGTCTTCCAGAGTCCAGGGATTAAAGGTTATGTGCCACCATCCCAGGTTAGAACATTTATTAAATATTCAACTTTCTGAATTTCATTCTCTAGATGCATATACCTTCAAATTAGCACATAATAAAGTGTAAATATTCTGAACTACAGAATAGTTACCTTCTTTGTAAAGTGGGATCAAAAATGTAAAATCTGGTATTTAACAAGAATGGAAATATACACTTTGGAACTGCTTGTTTAAAAGGAGGCTAGGGTTTTCAGGAGACATTTAGGACCAACAGGCTGATCTCACTGCAGGATGGGGGGAGAGGAGGGCCTGTTTGAGTGTCACCGTGCCTTAGCGGGTACCGAGTGTCACCTCATCACCTTTTGTACGTACTGAGAACACAACAATGAAATCTTCCCTGAATTTGAAGGTTGAGTTCTGTTGAGGGCACAGAAAGAAACTTAAGCAAATACACAGCATCTGTCCCTCGGAAGTAATTTCAAGAACTTAGAGAAAAACATAAAGAACACGTGAGTTAGTAGATGGAAGGGTGCTGGGCACAGAGGATCTGTTTATTTATAGGGTCCTCAGGAAGTCTTAGGTGATACAGGAACATCCAACAGCCGACCATGTGATTATCATGGATAGAGGACGTGGGCAGGAGGCTTACCAAGTGCTGACAGGCTGGTATGTTTTACAAGATCTACACCAAATCAGTCACTTTAAAAGCAACAGCAGCTACCGAGGCAAGGTGAACACATCACCTAAGACCACGTTAGCACCAGAACCTAGTGGGTGAAGAACTGGTGTACTTCCCCAGATCTCTCATTTCAACCGCGCCATCAACGCCTGCACAGCAGCAGGAACGTCAGGCAGCTGCCAGCAAGGGCTGCAGAGGCCACCGGGCGGCACCGCAGCGCAGGCGCGGTCACGGGCCAGGCCAGGTCTGCTTCACAGGAGCAGGTGCAGCGCGCGGGGAGCTGTGTGCGCAGTGCAGCGTGATCCCGAGCGGCCCCGCGGCGGGCGGTCAGGAGGTGAGGCCGCACGCCTACACCTGTGTACCGGGCAGTCAGAACCGGGGCAGGGCGGCGGCGCCTTCCAGGTCCGGCTGGTACCGGCAGAGGCGCAAGGCGGCCCGGCCCTGCCCCACCCCGCGGGGCGCAGCCCGGGGACCTGAGTCCCACAGGTGCAGACGCCCGCTGCGCCGCTGCAACGGAACCCGCGAGCGGAGCGCGAGGCCGGCTACTCACCGGACTCGGGGACGGCGGCGCCGACTCCGCGGGGCACGGGAAGCACAGCCCCATGGGGACCGGGGACCAGGCACCGCGCAGGCCGGGCCCGCCACAACCTTCCCCGCCGCGGCAGGCCCCGCCCACCATAGCCTTCCCGGCCGCGGCAGGCCCCGCCCACCACAGCCTTCCCCGCCGCGGCAGGCCCCGCCCACCAGACTCCGTCAGGGCCGAGGGCAAGCTCCGCCCCCACAGATACTGAGGCAAACTCCGCCTCCGTCTGGTAGCTTAGCTGGTCCGCCCAGCTTCCTCCAGCCTGCGGCAAGTCCCGCCTCCTCCCGGAAGGGACACGAGCCCCGCCCCAAAGCCTGCCTGACTGACGCTGCCTGGCTCCTTCTCATCCCAACTCCTCCCCATCCCGGATTCATCCTTGAATCTACGCCGCTGTCCCATGGCAACCCTCTACCCACGACGGCCTCCCCGCACGTTCCCTCCGTCCTCTACACGCCGCGTGCCCTCCGCACACGTCCCCTCCCCCTCTTTCAGCCCCACCCTTCCAGGTAGCTTTCTGCCGCGGCTCCGCCCCAGGCCCCGCTTCTCTGCCACTTGGTCCGGTCCCCAGAGGCCACGTCTGTCCGTGGTAACCCCTGGGGGTCCTGAATGTGTCCCGTCACTCTGCCGCCCCGCCCCGTGTATCTCTCAGTCTCGCTCCTCTTCCCTCTCTCTTGCTCTCTGGCCCCGCCCCGTCACGCTGCCCTTCGGCCCCGCCCCCGTGTTGGCCCCGCCCCTACGGTCCGGCTGGTTCCGCCCCTCCGCGGCTGCGCAGTCCGCCCCAGGTGCTCCGCTCCGGGCACCCAGCTGAACGCGGGCCTGGACCCTTCGTGCACCGCCCCGGGACAGAGGGTTCAGGCGTCCAAACCGATTTCCACGTGACGTCGGCGACCCGCGCTGACGTCCTTGTGTCCGAACTGGTCCTCAGAGCCGGCAGCGCGGGGCACCGTCCGGGGTCCGGCCTTCGAGATGCTCCAGGCGGCGCCCTGGGGCCAGAGCACAGTTCACCCATGAAAGGGGCTCAAACTCGGGTCCTCACCTCCCTGCCAGCTGGTTGAAACCCGATGCAGACTTAGGAGAGCTAGCCTAGGTCCACGATCCCGGTCCGGTGACCCTCCCCCCCCTCCCCCTC